ACTATATACCCCCCCTCACTTTGGACCTTCACCCCTATACTAACCCCCCCTTATAATGCTCTACCTACCTGTCTATTACACCTTACCTACCTATTACACCTTACCTATGTATTATACCTTACCTATGTATTATACCTTACCTATCTATTACACCTCACCTCTCTATTACACCTCACCTCTCTATTACACCTCACCTCTCTATTACACCTCCCCTCTCTATTACACCTCACCTCTCTATTACACCTCACCTCTGTCACAATGCTCTACCTACCTATCTATTACACCTTAAATAACCTATTCTCACTCTAAATTCAATTTATAACGCTATTTAATACTCTCACTATATTAACTCCTCTCTCTATACTCTATCCACCTCCTTCGGACCCATATATACTCATGTACCAATTTCACCGTCTCCCCGTTATGCCGTGACCCTAAATACCGTACGAGCTCGCTCTCATTGCCGATTGACACCCCGAGCCTTTCTAACCTCCGAGCCCACGCCTCCTTTATCACCTCACTTCCCTCGCCGTATACCATCACTACTAGCCCCGATAATAATAAGCCTCGATACGTACAATCCTCCTGGCTACCGGTATGCGCGAATCGACTGCAAATGGACTGCGGCATGCCACACCAGTAACAAGCACTAAATCTAGCAAATTGAATCTGCCGGCGTACGCGTATCCACCAGCTTTTCGGTGATTCATTACCGTACTGGGTCTGAGCCCGGCACTGGTATAAATCATGCTGGTCTTTAAGCCCACGCTGAGTACAAAACCAGCATCGTCCCATCCATATCTGGGCCTGTTGTAATAAAAATTCGACCCTGGTGGCAATTTCTTGATGTCCTGCCTGATCTACCTCTTGGACTACCTGTCTCTCACGGTCTAGCCGCTGGAACTGGTCAATTGCATGCGGGGGGATCAATGGACGGGCCACGCGCGTTGGTAATGAATGGGTCAGCTGCCGTGGCGTCGAATTATCAATTGGCAATGAATTGGACAGTTGCCCCGGCGTCAAATTAGCTATTTCTATTAATAATGAATTAGTCGGTTTCCTTGGCATTGAAATTACACCATGGGTGGTCTCTTACCTGGTGGCTCAATACTGCGGCGATAAATCGGACTTATCGATCCGACCTGGGACCGAAATCCGACGGATTCACTCTCACTTCGCTGGGAATTCGCCTCCGAATCGCTAGTTAATTGGATCACTTCTAGTGGCCCCTGGCTATATTGAATACCCTCTATGGGTTGCTCCGCATGAGCGTCCGCTGGCTGGTTCAAAATATGGGATAAAACCATGGAATCGGACGTCTGAAATGATGCATTGGGAACTAGCCCATTTCTCTCACTTCCTAGCTCACTTCCTAGCTGACGTGCTGGCTCACTTCCTAGCTGACGTGCTGGCTCACTTCCTAGCTGACGTGCTGGCTCACTTCCTAGCTGATGTGCTAGCTCACTTGCTACCTCTTCATTTGCCTGCCAATGCTCGTCACACCTATCGCAGCGCTGCTCTGTATTATCAGATTCTCCACAATACTGACGTTGATAGCTATCCAAATACTCGTCAAGTATGACGCGTCGGCAGTCTTGAGATATATATCGGTCTAGCCGGCTTTGCTCCGCCTGAGCTTTCACGGGGTCTTTATGAATTGGGTCCCATTTTGGCCGTAAAAACCCGTGGGGTTGAATAATAATGGCCTCACTGCGAAGTCCGTCTCGGCTAGCACGGCCGCTCTCTTGCGCGTAGTCTAATAAGCTACGTGGTAACCCAATGTGAATAATACTGCGAATATTGGGTATATCAACACCCATTCCTAGCGCACTAGTAGCGGCCACTACCCCTATGGGATCGGCCTGGAAACGGGCTAGTACGCTATGGCGATCGATCGTATGGCTGTGATATGCCTCACATTCGAAGCCCTTAGCCAGTTTATCGACAGTCTTAGTGGTGAGCCCGTAAATGACCACTCGGCCGGCCTGAGCACGCGCGCGCGTAATACGATCTCTAATAAATCGTACTATATTGGGGTCCTCTACCCAATCGTAGCTATTGGCGTATTGGTTCGGCACTGTGGGCTGCCATAGCCGGTACGCGACATTCATGCGATGGGTGCGTGCCCGAAATAAATGGACCTTCTCTCGCGACGTGCGTAGCCGTTGAAATAGCTGGTTTTCGGCCGTCGGTGGCAGCGTGGCAGTCAAATATATCATCTGAGCCTGAGCCATAAGTAATCGACCTAATTGAGCTATGGCGGGCCTGAAATTGGTCTGATCGTTTAATACGACGTGGCATTCATCGATCACAATGCGATCTAGCCGATGACATAGCCGCTGGCGGTTCAAAAATGTCATGAAATCCTCCGTAATAGCTGATTCGGGGGTCACTAGCATAATTGATGCCTGGTCTGCCGGCCGACGGCTCTCCCACGCCACACATGAAATGCCGAGCTGCCGGCATCGATGTACCATATCACCCCGTAATGCAATTAATGGCACTACCACCACCGTGACCCCACGGGGGCTGATCCACGCGGGAAGCATGAAAAGTAAGCTTTTTCCACCCCCGGTTGGCATGACGGCCACCACCGGGCTCTGGCCTTGCTGAATAGCTTCTAATGCCGGTGCTTACACCCCTCGGAGGCATAGCTCGCTATTACCTATCATGCGCTGCATCTTAGGCTCTATCGCTGCCTGCGTCAATTGCTACCGACGCTCCGTCCGACCTATTTTAGCTTCCTTCTGCTATGGTGAAAACTGGGCTAGTCCTAATGCACTCTCGGCACCCCCGTTATCTGTGGACACAAAGCCTAAAAACCGATGCTAGTCGGTGCTACTAAGCCGAAACATCTCACGCCGGTGGGCCGTCGTACCAGGCTGCTCGGTGATGCCACGACCGTAGATCATGCCGGCAACGTGTGATAAATAGGCCGCCTAGAGGTTAGCAATATGACCTATCCATTGCTTAGCATTCATTCCCTCTTCGTCATCCTCTTGTGAAGCCTCGGCTCGCACGTCCTGCTGCGTATTATTGGGAAATACGCTAGACGGCCGTATAAAGCGACGGCTAATGCCAATAGCAATATCCTGGTAAGCATTCAAATTAATGGCTTGACCATTAAGCCCAATGGTGGTTTCCCGCTTTAGCACTTCACGGAGTCTCTTAGATGACCAATCTCGGCTAGTGCCAGGATCGGGACCCCAGAGGTAAGCTTGACGCATTTTACTAAGTCCAAAATTAGTAAAAACTCAAAAATGATTCAAAAGTAATTAAAGACATTGAGGAATTGAAGACATTGAGAAATTGGCAAATTGGCAAATTGGCAAATTGGGAAATTGAGAAATTGAAAAATTGAAAAAACTCACCTTTTGATCTCCTCCACGCCATCTAATCTCCGCACCTTCGCTACGTACGCCTCCAATCGCCGTGTAAATGGCAATACTAGCCATAAATAATGGACCACAAGCTCTCCTACCTCCCGGGGTAAATAGCGATGAATCACCTTAGTATCATTGGATGCGTAAAACCCCTTGTGGTATTGTGAGACGAATGTAACGAGCCCGTCCTCAATGAATACGTTGCGACGGCCCCCGCTATCAGTATTGCAATGCCGAATGCTTAATAGCTCGGGTGCGCGAGCCGGCTGGCCACCACTCACGTGAATAGCAATAGCAAGCTTCTCACGGAAATACGCTACCCGTTGAAGGTAAGCGTCAATTGCTACCATACGTAGACGACCGGCACTACTCTCGATGAATCGCTGCCGTACGGGGCTATGCTACCGCACCCGGCCGATCAGCCATTGCTCGCCGTCCACAGGCCATGGGGTACGGGTGTCTTTTAAGAAATTCCACCCGTGGGCTGTCTCCGTAGGATCGTCGTAAATTGCCTGCCATGGAATAGCTGGAACTGACCCATTTTCGACGGTAAATAATAGCTCATTGTAGAGAATTTGGCGTGCTGAGCTAGTGAGCCCGTGGATGAACCCACGGAAGTCACCTATTGTGAAATTGAATTGCTGGTAAAGTAGCTGGTCCTGGTTCATCCAGCCGATGTGGCCCGTCGTGGTGCTATTATAATGGATCTTCAACCCATAAGTCCGTAGATCTAATAACCATTGAATTAGGCTATTTATTCCACGGACCATGAATTAGCTTACCATCTCAGCCACCCACTCTCTGAATGATCGCTGGGTCTGCCGTTGAGCCTAGGTGAATTCAATAAATTGAGATGACTGGCTAGCCGTGGGTGGCTGAACTGGGCCAGTTTCAAAATTGTAAAATGGATCCTCTGATGTCTGAAATTCAGGTGAATCTAGCGGACTCTCGGTATCCCAATCACCTGCCATTTGATACTCCGCCAGCTGATATAGCATTGCCTCCGCCGTAGAATCCAATTTCAAAGCCTTATAGACTACCATAAAGCGTGCGATCTTGATCAGCTTCGATAAAATGGGTGGATAGCTCTCAGCCGTACGCCAGCCTGCCTCTCCACGGCCGAGCACTGCCGTAGCACAAATTAGCGCACTCTCATAGTCCTCGACCTTAATGCGATGGTTCAATAGCTCAATGCAAAAATTGAGACACGCTAAGTCAATAGGAGCTAGTTTAAATAGCGATTCGGTGCTATTTTGCTGATTCGCTAGTGATTCGCTAGCAATTCGCTGCGTAGGCTGATTCTCGGTGCCACTCTCTAAATGCTCACTCTCTGAATGCTCGCTATTATCGTCTAAACTAGCTGAACTAGCTATGGCTGACCTAGGTGTGGCTGACCTAGGTGTGGCTGACCTAGGTGATACGCCCGGCTAGGCTAGTTTCCAAAGCGAGTTCCACGCAGCGCGCTAGCGCCTAGTAAATTTGTAATTTGGACTAGCCCATTCATGCGTAGCCTACGTACGAGTGAAAAACATCAGAATTTGCTGCCACGGGATGGTGTGTCTCTCAATATTATCGGCATCCATGTAAGCTTGTAGCGGCTGGTGCGGTAGTCGGTCGCGCTCCGTACGTACGGCTTCGGTGCGAATTATATGGCTAGTTTTTGTACAAATCAACTAGCTAATTCTCGCGACAGCAGCCATTGCATCCCATATAGCACTTGCCGCTATTTCAGTCGGATCGGATGAATCGCCGTCGGGTGCGCGGACGCAGTCAATAAGGTGCTGGGGGTCGATTCCACGGAGGTAGACAGCCCACTGCGTACGACGTAGCCATAGATTCGCATCGTCGCGCTCGCTAGCGTCTATAACGTGAGGTAATTCACTTTCCTCTATGAAAGCTAGTTCAATTTCATCAATAAGGCGGTCCCCGACCTCAGTCGCGGGCATTGAGTCAGCCCCGGTAATAGCTGCCGCCCCGAGCGTACGCACGCGAATATAATGAGATGCTGGCCCCTGGCTAAATACGCGCTGGCATCGAACAACGCGCGTAAATAGCTGGATTTGCTGCTCTACGACTAGTAGACCCTAAGTGCGCCGACGGCCTCCAAGATTGGTAGGTGCGACCCAGCCATGGTATCTACGCCAATGGTAGCGCATAGTGCTAATAGAACGGGCGATAAATTGGCAATTTGGGCCCTTTTCACATAGAATGCCATCCGAAAAAACTAGCAAATTAGCAATTGGGGTATTGACCATGGTTGGTGGCTGCCATGCGTCGCATTCATGCGCCCGGTCGGAGGTTTGAACAACATCCGCAATTTGACGTGCCGTACGCATTAGAAGTCGATGATTCGCTGATTGAAGGTGTCGAAATACCTCTTTTGGTCGGATACCGTATTCACATGACTTACACACGAAAACTAGGTCTGTCGAAGGTTGGTGAAAAAATTGGGTTGCCATGGTTAATGATAATGTGAGATATATATCGCACAATAATGAATTGTATGAAATTTGACGAATATCGAATACTAGCTGTGAGGTGAAATAGTCTAAAAACAAAGTGAGATAATAGCTAGGGAGCGGCTAAACCCCTGAATTAATTGCTACCCCTCCTGACCATTATAGACTAGCATGATCGAGGTAATTAGATACGTCTACGGTGCGGTGGTGGTGTCTTTGGTGGTAAAGATACGCCGTAATATTACACTCTAATAAAATATCTCGGATATTTAATTGGTATTTTCTCGATAACCGTAAGGCTCTATATGCTATAAGGTAAATAGGAGATAAATTAGGTGGTCTATTATAACTGACCAAAATTTGAGAGCTCTAGGATATCATTAGACCTCTATAGTCTGGCGAGGAAGTTCACCTATAGTCTAGTAGGCCGCACCTCTTTCCCTACTTATATACCCCTATATCTTAGGTAATAATAGGCCCCCCGATATAAGCTTAGTATTAAAATACTAGGAAAGATAGGGGCTATCTAGCTAGCTAGAAATATAGTGAAAAATCTAATATTCCTTCAAAATTGGGATAGATACCTTTTTCTAATGTTCAAAAACTGAACATAATAGGTTCCTAGGCGGCCAATTTTTGGCACGAATCAAAATTACTACGGCGTCTAAATAGCACCGAAGCAGACTAGTCTAGGCGCCAATTAATATATCGAAAGCCCCCCCGTATCGGCATTATAGCCTAAGTCTAGTGTTCCTCTAAGGAACATGTTATATAGGTAAAACGCTAAGGCGTATAACTTTCCGTATACTATACCCCCGGTCCTAGGAAGAAGCTATTATATACACTATAGTCTAGTCTCTATATAGGGGAGATATCTAAGTAATAGACCTTCTAATACTAGGGTAGTAGGTAATAATATAAATAGCTAATAAACATCTATATATCTTACCTAAAAGTAGACCCCCGGTCCTAGTAATTAGGTATTATATAGACTATAGACTACTCTCTAAGGCGTATGTATATAGGTAATTGTTAGGACCCTGCGAGGTCCTAGTGTAGTAGTATGAGTACGGGAAGTAGAGACTATCGTCGAAGTGTATATGTAGGTGCAATAAGAGACTAATTGCTGGTCCTTCATGCGAAGGCTAGCGAGTGCAATAAATACAGTGCGCTTAGCTAAGAGACTAGGCGAAATGCACGACCATCATGGTCTATGTATGCGCCTATCTATCTGCACACTACGCAGCCCAAAGGCTCGCAGTATACTTTCAGGCACCCTTAGGCACCTATTAGGTCGAGGTCCTGACAGTAATAGACCTACTAAAAATAGAGTCTAAGGTAATAATGTAAATAGGTAATATATCGTCCGATATCTTACGTAATACTAGGCCCCCCGATATAAGCTTAGTATTAAAATACTACGAAAGGTAGGGGCTACCTAGCTAGCTAGAAATATTATGAAAAATCTAATATTCTTACAAATTTAGATACGTAACTTTTTCTAATGTTCAAAAAGTGAACATAATAGGTTGCTTGGCGGCCAATTTTTGGCACGAATCGAAATTGCTGCGGCGTTAGGATAGCACCGAAGTAGACTAGTCTAGGTACTAATTAATATATATAAAGCCCCCCCGTGTCGGCATTATAGCCTAAGTCTAGTGTTCCTCTAAGGAACATGTTATGTAGGTAAAACGCTGAGGGGTATAGCTTTCCCTATATCAGACCCCCGGTCCTAGTAAAAAGTTATAATATAGACTATAGTCCACCCTCTATAGTGTGTAAATATCTAGGTGAAATACCTACTAAAAATATAGTACTAGCTAATAATATAAAAAGGTAAGAAACACCCCTATATCTTAGGTAATACTAGGCCCCTAGAAGTAAGCTTAATACTACAATACTAGGTGACGTAAGGGCTATCTAGCTCGGTAGGAATATAGTAGAAAATCTAATATTATATAGTTAAAATTTTAGATACGTACCTTTTTCAAATGTTCAAAAAGTGAACATAATAGGTTCCTAGGGGGCCAGTTTTTGGCACGAATCAAAAAGGCTGCGGCGCTAAAATAGCACCGAAGTAGACTAGTCTAGGCGTCAATTAATATATGTAAAGCCCCCCCGAATCGGCATTATAGCCTAAGTCTAATGTTCTACTTAAAAACATGTTACGTAGGTAAAACGCCGAGGTATATAGCTTTCCCTATACTAGACCCCCTGTCCTATAGTTAAGGTATTGTATAGACCATACTCTACTGTCTATATATAGTAAATAGCTAACTAATAGACCTAGTAATAGTAGAGTACTAGCTAATAATGTTAATAAGTAATGAACACCGCTATATCTTAGGTAATAGGAGACCCCTGGTCCTAGGAACTAGGTATTATATAGACTATAGACTACACCCTATAGGGCCTATATATAGGTAAAACACCTACTAGTAATAGACGGCTAGGTAATAATTTAAATAGGTAATATAGACCCCGATATTTAAGGTAATATAGACCCCGATAGCTAAGGTAATATTAGGCCCCCCGATATAAGCTTAGTATTAAAATACTAGGAAAGGAAGGGGCTATCTAGCTAGCGAGAAATATAGTGAAAAATCTAATATTCTTACAAATTTGGATACGTACCTTTTTCTAATGTTCAAAAAATAAACATAATAGGTGCCTTGGCGGCTAGTTTGCGGCGCGAACCAAAAAAGCTGCGGCGTCAAAATAGCACCGAAGCAGACTAGTCTAGGCGCTAATTATTAAATTGAAAGCCCCCCCGTGTCGGCATTATAGCCTAAGTCTAGTGTTCCTCTAAAAAACATGTTATATAGGTAAAACGCTAAGGCGTATAACTTTCCGTATACTACACCCCCGGTCCTAGGAAGAAGGTATTATATACACTATACTCTAGTCTCTATATAGGGTAGATATCGAAGTAATAGACCTACTAATAGTAGAGTACTAGCTAATAATATCAAAAGGTAATAAACACGTCTCTATCTTAGGTAATACTAGACCCCCCGGAGTAAGCTTAGCATTATATTACTTAGAAAAGTACGGGCTATCTAATGATAAAATAATAATTGTAAAAACCCTAGGAAGTGATCGAGTAGACTACTCCCGATTAGTCGAAAAAGTGTTAAAAACCGTCCTTTAGACAGACCTTAGGTGGCACTCTCAATTATATATATCTCTATACTCCGATATATATCTCTACAATATACGTCTAAACTTTTACTACTAGGAAATAAGGTTTCCTAGCATCCTAATTAGGTCTAGCTTATAGCTTACTAGCTAATAATGTCTACTACTATATTGGATAGACCATAATATACTACTATACTATATTTTACTAGGAATGTAAGGTTTAACCGCTAATAGCTCGCTTACTAATAGACCTACTAGTTTATAAATATGATATTTGAAATCAGCTGACCTTTCTCTATCTAATGAACCCCTTACTAAATTCGTAGTATATAGGACTAGCTAGTTAAGGCGTATAACGTACTAGCTCAACCCTTCTAGTCACGTAGGCGCTGTTCACATAGCCGCTAAGAGTAAAATACGGGGTGTAAGGTACGAATACGGGGTAATCTATTTAGTACGGGCCGCTATAGATAAGGGTGGGTATCCGATTACGGTAATAAATCCCGTCGGTCGCAACCCATGCAAACTTTTTACCTATTTTTGATCATCCACCATACCACCATTATTGGTCTGATCATTATAAAATTTTCACAATTCCTAGATCTAATAGTTAAATAGACTATGTCTAATTTATAGACTGATCGGAGCAATACGTAGCCCGTGGTCGTAGAGTGACGTCGAACCTTTAGTACTGCGACCGGGTGACCCCATCAAAACTTTTCACCAATTTTTGATCATCTACCACACTACTATTATTAGTCTGATCTTAGTCAAACTTTCCTACATCGTAGTTCTAATAGTTAAATAGACCGTGTCTAGTTTATAGACCGATCGGAGCAATACGTAGCCCGTGGTCGCGGAGTAAACGTCGAACCTATAGTACTGCAACCACCCAAAAAGGTACAAGGAGGTACAAGACCAAAATACTTCAAACGCGTATGACTCGATCACTAGAAGGCTGTGCAAGCTCCGAAGCAAATGGGAGATACCCTACGTATACATCTATAACCTATATAAGTCTTAGACCGATCGGAGCTGACTACACCTCCGTAGTCAGGGTGACAAAAGAACCTGTAGTCAGGGTAGGCCGTACTTTTAGGTAACATAGTTAAGACGAAGCCCTAACCTGTAGTCAGCCCTGACTACAGCACCCCCCGTGGGATAGGACATACTCAGTGGGAAATATATAGGACATGATTCCTCGGACTTTGCAATTACAAAATAAAATCTTTGTTATCTAGGACGTCTCTTTTTAAAGCGGGTCCTAACTTATAAGAGTGTCTAGAGGATGGCCACCTATCCTACGTGGATATTTACAAAATCGAGGGAGGGAGCTTCTTTCCTTACGAGCTTGTTGATTCAGTCCACGAAGCTTTCTAAATATTTATATAGGTAATTAGATGATTCCCTCTGCTTAAGTTCCTAATAGTTTGCCTATTTGACGACCTTTTTTTGTTGGTATAATAGCTCCGTTACTTAAATATCTCCGAAGCCGGCTTCGACGACAGAGTCACACCCACACGCTCGAGGACTATCGAGTGGTCTAAGCGGAGCCCCGTGAAATCTTAGGAAATAAAATATTATATACAAGGATGCTTAAGGAAGAGGTAGAGATAAATTGGATCTATAACCTCCTTGCTAGCGGAGGAAACTAGGTGCTACTCGCCGGGTATTTGGTCATTCCGGGCATATTTACCTCGTTGAAGGACTCGAGTAGCGTGGAAGAGACACTAGAGAAAAATAGCGTAGGGCGGGTAATTCTTAGCACTATACAAAACCCTCCACTTCTTATATTTACCTATGTATTCCTAATTGCCGGTGTAACTATGCTAGCGTGGCTATTCACAAGGTATAAAGCTAACTACTCTTGGTTGATCAATAAAATTTTTATGTAAGATAGCGTCCTAAAATAAATAACTTAGGCTGATTGATTGAATTATAGGCTAGCATCCTTGAATGTAGCAGCTGGTTTGCTCACCACGATTGTTAACGTTTGCGCTTTATAGGGTGGAGACTGGTCCGTCATAGCTCTGGTGATAACTATTGTTATAGGAGTCACCCTAGCTATATACGTGGGGCTTTCTATCTTTTATAAGTTTTACAAATTGCGAAAAGTGATCTAAAGTGACGTATGCCGCTCTAGCTATTTTGAAATATCTAGGGTATGTGAGGATTCCCTAAATCGTGTGCTTAACGAGGTTAAAGATTAGGATCGGGTTATTCGGTTCTATATTAGGAACGACGAATTCAGCAGCGCACAGAATCTAGCACCGCTTTTAGACTTAGTGATACAATACTGCTGGCTATCTGACCAAAGGACACGCTCTGTGTGGGTGGAGGTACTAGCTGACAATCAAGGGTACGTCTTGAAATAATCGCTCTGAGGTACCTCTGGCGCTAACAATACATCAGAGTCTTATCTTCCTTGTAGGATGGTGACTTTATCCAAAATAGCAAAGTAAAACTTACACGCGAGCATTATATAATTATGGAGTTCGCGCGAGACTCTAAGGTTGTACCTACTATCGGGAGGTCTCCTTGAGCTGGTAAGGGGAACAAAAGCGAGCGTTATCCGCACGGAAATAATCAAAATAAGACTTCGATTAATTAACCTAGGATATGTCAGAGTCTACACATAGTACTTTATTTTGGGGTTGTCCCCTTGCATGCTCCTTATAGATTGTAATGTGCTCATATTCCCCCATAACCAGAGGGTATGGTATTAAATAGTTGATATTTAGCCATCCTAAGCTCAGGGGAGTTGCAACCCCAATGATGCTCGGACAATATAGTACACAGTTTTGAGCTTCCTTCTATATATTGTAATGGTTCTGGTGCCCAATAATTAAAAACTTCAACGCAATATTAGGTACAGTAGAATCACTCAACGGTTTCGAAGTCGTGCGCCACGTGGGCGGCCTGACAACGTAAACAACAATTAAGCCACGAAAGGCCTCGGTGAGGCTCTAAGTTCAGGAAGTGGCACACTCATACATGTACGTACACGGATATATACAGTTGCGGTAACCTGCATATCGCTGTCGATGCAAGGGGTCAGGTTATGAAGTCATATGAAAAGCACTAGTCCAGAGTAAGAAATCTTTCCGACCAAGCCGCATTGACTAATGTACCTTTGCTGAGTCATCTTCAGCTCTAGTAACGGTAATGAAAAATGATGTCTAGCGGTAGCTCCAAGTGTGATACTTCGTCACTCACTGCCCCTCTCTGAAATCCGCCTTTTAACCTCTTCTTACTTCGCACTCACACCATTTCGAGTCGAAGCAATGACCGACCTATCTGAAGCAAGTGCTAAAGAATTTGCTGTAACGTAAGTAGTACGTTCAAGTATTCTCGAAAATGGTCATGTCTGAAATCCCTCTCACTCAACCTTCTTCCACAGTATCGTGGCCCTACCGTCAAAATCCAGATAAGCTCTAGCGACCACGAATATGAGATTTCAAAGCACCTCCTTTGCAAAGAGTCCACCTATTTTACAGCAATGTTTGAAGGTAGCTTTGCAGAGGGAGAGCAGCAGGTAGCAACCCTAGAAGAAGTGGAAGGGGTGGTCTCGGTGCGGAGTTTCCAACCACTCATACAGTGGATATGTATGAGTGCAGTGGATATACCTGCGCAGAATCCAGTTCGATTGCGAAGGCCCAGAAGATCAAATCTCGGCTGCAATAGAGCTCGTCAGACTTGCAGACATGTGCAATATTACAGGGATGGAATCTCAAATGGCTCGGTATATCAAGGATGTACTCGTTTGCAATCCTGATCCCCGTTGCGATGGCTCTTTTTTACGACATATCGATACCAACACCTATTGCCTCACACGTCAACATATTATTTGGGCAACTTTCTTGCCTCCAGGGCATTTGGTGAGTCGCATCCTAGCGGCAGCCTCGGTTGAAGGATATCTTCGAGACGAGAACTACAAATTTGTGCAGGAAACTCATGAATATCCCACCTTCGGAGCTGACCTACTTCAAGAAGTGAAGTCAACGCTAAATCGGATCGAGTCCGCTACGCGCAAGACCACTTTTGAAGACCCTATCAGCGGAAAGAGAGTGATCATCAAGTCTGGTTCAGATTTCTAGTACTGTATGATCGTTTTCCAGTCTATTACACGTTGAACCTGTATTTTTACTTTTCTTTTGCTTAATTTTGCAAGGGGTTAGATGCAAATTGCAAGTTTCGACGGCGCACAAGGCATTGAGGTAGTTGGCGTTTCTCGCAGAGACTGGGGGGACACGGACTTACTACGGTACTTTTCATGGGAGTCACTGGGGTCAATGTACCCAGTAAAGGCGGTAATTTGTAGTAACAAGCTTAAAATAAAGTTATTCTTGGAAGCCTTTTCTTTCAATCCAGCTGTAGTAAACAATGTGCTTACCACTTGGTTGTAGGAATGGCTTGGTGGTAACGCCAAAATACATTGGTAGATTCAATGCGGGCGGACTAACTTCCTATTCTAAACTAGTTCACTTCATGTGGGGCTCTGGGAAACAGTGCGAGAGAGTGTGGAGGTACATGTACATGATTTTCTTGCTTCAGATTTGAATCCCAAAAGTATTGGATCTCAGTCTCGCATCTGGCGTAAATTTCGAATTCTGATGGAGCGACGTGGCTGGCGTCGCGGGCTTATCGACTTCATGCCTGCTTCCCTCTTAAGACTCAGGAGATTCTTAAAATCGATAGCGCCTTTGAGTGGCAATTAGCTTTTCGGAGTTCCCTTTTTCGCTGGTATACATACCAGGGTCTGTGTTGTAACTTTTAAGCAGGCAAGGAGCGATTTTCTCAAGCACTTCGGATTTAAGCCACAGAGCTGCGTGAATATCAAATTCCGTATTATCTTTAACATTTGGGGTGCCCCCTAAAATGCACACAACGTCCAGGTGTCGGCCTTTCTTCGCCTTACTCGTTGCGTCCAAAATGACTTTGAGCCCGCATTCGAACCAGCTGTACAAGTCCCTGTTAAGTTCAATGGATTGAGGTAGGCTCCATCCATTGAAGACCCACGGTAAATTTTCTCTAATTTCACTCTCTTTCGTGGCTACGACTCCTTCTACCAAAAAGGTCGTCGTATTATCAACAATTCTGTGGCATCGGATAAGGGATATCGTCTTCAAGGAAGCCACAATAACCTTGTGCTGCTTAGTGGCATTGCTCAAAATCATAAACTGTAGATGTAGGTGACTTTACTTACCATAGTGGCAATGAATCTGAATATGCTTAGCACAGTCACTTAGTAGGCAGGGAGATGGATTGTAATAAAAAGAATGTAGGGGGCTGATGTTTAATATATGGCATAAGCCACCAATCATTTGTTTACATACTAGATAGTCTCCTAGGCTGTATATCACAGCTCCTAGGAATCTCGGGGTATGTAGAAATAATGAACAAAGCCAAATCGAGTGCTACAATAAAAGGAAATTCTCGCTTTTCTCTTGGGGAACCATGTAGGGGTCGGGCTATGGATCAGCGAAGGAATCCGAATCTCTGCGACGTCTCTAAATGAGGAGACTTCTGTCTGTTTCGCTTGCACAGTATTCATCAAAATCGATGAATTCGGGTTCCTCTTTGTCTGTGATGATCCTTCGTAGGCACCTATCCGAAGCCGCTTTAAGCTGTATTTGGCCGAAGTGGATATAATCATTTTCTACATCTGCGACCCGTGTCCACTTGCTTTCCTACTAATGGCTCCACAAGTCTAGTTTACTGCGTTCAAAAAGAGCGGTTCGATAAAGACGTGTATGAAAGGTGGGCATACCAGTTGAGACTCTGTAGCTTCGAGTGGGACAATCTTGGTGTCATATTGGGCATAGGATTCTAGCAATTATTGAGGGAGTGACAGCATACAGATGGTCCTAGGGGACGAGTGACACGCAGGTGGAAGGTATCAAAGCTTCGTGTAATATACGATAGCGCACATATTGCACTGGTCCTAGTATTACTTCACTCTTTATGCTGCAACGACTATCTTATTATAACTGTATTCTGCCTTGTTTATTATATTCAGACCTTCATATCGTTGATTCGAAAAGTTGCTCTTGAAGGGAAGGTTGTGATCCAACATCCATGTCACTGAGGAGAGAAAACAGCGTGCAGGCTATCAGATTATCTGGGGAGCAGAAGTTTCGTGAGGGAGATATATAGAGTTATAATATAGCGCAATTAACCAAATTGCACGGGAGAGAGTGGAGTGGAGATTCGACAGGTAGACAATCTCGTCAATTGGTTTTCGGCCAGCAGTTATTTTTCACAGACCCGTTCCACGGGCCGGCCTGGCAATTTGATATATATGGTCATCTTTAAGATCCCCGGAGCATTTGGTGTGTAAACAGCAGACCTGTGAATTACTATATATAACTAGTTTTACCTGCTTAGGTTCAGCACCCTCATATAATATTCTATAAGCTCTACCTTCTATTTCTCTGGTATAGAAGTTTACCATCGAGGCGGTTACTGCTAGGCTCCGCCGATATATACATGAAGAAAGTATATTCAATATTTCACTCTAATCAATAGGGACAAATAGACTTGCCTAGTTGCACAGCAAATCTCGCCGGAGCTCATATCCCAGAAGCATACGTACTGAGCTCACTGGGAGGAGATATATCATGATAAACCCAAATATTCGGCTCAAAATATATAGGAGCAAGTCTTCTCTGCCACGTACAGCCTTAATGGCGCTAGCCCTCCAGGAAAGGTGATCTCCAGATAATCCCGGTTGGATTCCACCTCTTTCTTCACATCCCTTGACTGAATTTCTTGTAAATGATGTTCAAAATCGACGCCAGTCCATTCCTGCCACTCAGCCATAGTACCATGTATTATCATACTGTACGGCGCGGCCTTGACCATAGTACCCCCGAGAGAGATGTGACTGCGCAGCCATGGATCGACCGGAAGCTCCTGCTTGGTAGGTTGGCTATTATCCATGGAAGATGATATGCCAGCCGGAACAGTGCTGGGTACTTTTTCACACTTCCAGGTCATATAATCTTGCATAGGGACCAAAGGAAACTCCGCTTTTCTAGTTGGGCGCAAGGGAACAATCAAGGCTTCCAAGCCTTCTGCGCGTGCTGTCTGCTTCATAGCATTAACGAGCATTTCAGCCAAACCAAGCTTGCGTCGATCTGCCTGCACGGCCATGGAAAGTGCAGATACAGCATTGGGCCTGTTTACCGCTTGGCAAGCTGCCACGTCTCTTTCCTGATCTTTCGTCAAGGGTGGTATAGGCGATGGAGGTAGCCCCTCCCTCAAGATATGCTGTCGTATACCTCGAGAGACGATAGTCCCCCAGCCTCCTTCAGGGAGGGTGTTCAAGACATGCGGATGGGCTGATATGCCACCCTTCTCTCTGACTTCCTCGAATTCCGACTAGGAAAAGGGGACTGATCGCGCACGAGCGACAACAAGTTCTTCTCCAGTCGTCGGATCCCGCTCGACAATAACAAATTGGAATTTTCGAAGACCCTCGAACTGATTGATTTTGCGAGAAAAGTTTCGGGCGATGAGCTCGTTTAATAAGAAGTATGGCCATACTTTGTTCAGGGGATGATTCAGATCTGATAGGCCCTCCCAAAGATCTAGCCTAGTCTCAGCTGTGTGGACTTGGAAATTCTTCGAATCCATTATGCCGTGATGGGAATGGCTCAAAAGGAGATTTCTTTTCACGAAGTATGGGGTGTGAAGTAAGATGGAGCTTAATAATAAATAACAATAACAGTCTGAACTGCCAGCGAAGGGGAAATTGTCGCCACGCCTTAAATAATTTCCCGGTTCGATGCGATTTCGTCAGACGCCTTGGCCATGCACTCCGCTAGGTGAATGGATTCGCTGGCATCAAGGTGAATTTTTGATTGATCAAACTAGGCTTTAGTAAATAGTTTCGTGCGATGCAGGCAATACCTGACCCTAATCTAGCGGACCCAGCGAGAAAAGTTCTTGTAATCCACTAGGAGATAACCGACGTAAAGTCCGTGTATTACGGAGTATGTATAAAATACCCTCACAACAAGGAAAGACCGGTGACTAGCAACGCGAAAAAAGAAATTATGGAGTAGTGTGATTAGTTTGGGTGATATAGTCGATATGAAGCTTCCAATTCGCCGGGTTCTCCCAAGAATAAAATACCGATCTTCACCAGAGCTGCAGGGCACGGACCTCATGGTTCTTCGAACAGAGTGGGGGTAATCATTAGATTCATCTTGCAGAACTGCTAACTAAGTTAACTTATCTACATGGACAGAGATGGTGGGGGTTGTAGAATAAGAAAAGATCAGCGCCCCAACCCAATGATCACTCAATTCAACACCCTCAATTTGCCATCGCGAACCCTCATGTATATGTATATGATCTTGTGACCTGGCAAATGGTGTGATTATTAAAGCCGCAAAGAAGTATTAGACACGTCAGAATTGTGTGCTCAATCTCTAAGGTTTATGAAGATTAAACAGAAACACGCTGAGAAATGGCTACTCTGGTCAGAAGGAACATATCTATGTGGCTGCAAAGCGGAAAAGTAAGGTTTACGGACAGACAATGCTGCGTGGGGCCGGTAGGTACTTAAACATGCTTAGTAAATTGCACAGAGGAGGGGTGATGATTCGACGGGGTAGTTAATCTGGTCCATTAATTTTAAGGCAAACACTTATAGATTTCACTGTCATTCAACCACTCTGGCCTGACAATTAGATTGGTCTGGCCATATTTGAATCTTAGAGCATTTGGTGTGCAAAACGAATAAATACAAACAACGGTTTACTTCAAATTATCCCGGTTGAACAGATTGTTCATTTCGTCGAATCTACGCCCACGCTCCCTGCCATTATTTGTTTGCCTGTTTATTATCAAAGTGCCCTCAGCCAGCTGATGTCTCCTAAGCTAACAAGTTGAAATTGCCATCAAACACCGTTGTTAGATTGGCTTTACCTAGCCCTCGTATTCCTCTACCAAAACTATATTTTCTGACTTCCCAGACATTCCGACTAGTAGCAATAAGTTCTTGTTGTGTCCCGCAGCATTTGATTGAATACTGCACGATGAACTCTATCGTCCAAGCTCCTCAATAGAATTGCACGAATTCGGGGTACCGCAGACTTCTAGCAGCCCTCAGTGTTCGTGGGCAAGCTTCATTCTTGTTTTCATTGCGCGCGAATTCGCTTGCGAATGATGCGTTTCATTCTGTGTTTCGAGAGTAGTTTATACTTCAAGTGCAGTAGTGTTCGAAATCAGCTATACCTCCGCACTCATTGTGACTTGATTCCGGAAAATAAACCCGACGGTTGAGAGTTCAGATTGGATGGGCGACGAAAGCCCCATCTTCCAGACCGCTTTCCAGGGCTGGTAGGTGTATCTTACAATACAGTAATAAGACACCCCTGGATGTATTTTACACGAAAGTACTACAATCATTCTCGAAATCGCCTTGACCGATACACACTCAATTTCTCTCTTCTAGCCCCACTGCTAAGATCTTAGCGTAGATAATTATTTTGGGGGAGGGGTGGGGGGGGAATAAGTTGAGGTCCACTGTAAAATGATACATACTCGTATGGTATTGTAAAGTGCTAGTAAATTTAAGTACAGTAATGTGTAGGCGGGTCTGAGGGGGCGCTCGAGGATAACCGGTGTCCGTGCGACCCCGTACTAGTCCGAGTCGGGGTCCCGTACCTCTGGTCAACTCCGTCTATTGCTATCTCCTCCGTCCTGTGTCCTAGAGATTTGGGGAAACCATCGTCTCGATGGTGTCCATCAAGAGGGCTCGTTCATGAACCATCCCTAAAACCTTTATATCACTAAAATTTTAAGGTGATAGATCTCTCATAAGGGAGATTTCATTATATTTGTCTATCAAAAGTGGATATATCTCGGTCAATGGTCTCGGCTTGCCCAGGAGCTCTTCCCCACTTGACTTTAGCAAGGGACGAGGGCGAGCTGAATATGACGTCTTTGCAACCTTACTATCGTAGCTAGGTGGGCCGATCTATTAGTAGGTACGCCTAAATACATAACCACTGCTGATCATAGCCAGATCTGTCGTTAGAGTTCATTTCCGAACCGGCGGTCAGTTGAGCTGCATAACAGCTACGATGCCTGCAGCTGATCCATCACCCAATAGTCCTGGAATGATGTATATCTGTCTATGACCCATTTAAATTTCCCCGCTATACCCGCGTATAAGTCTGCCTGCTCTGTTTGATTTTCTTTTTCCTCACAAATGTGTTTTTAAACAACAAGGTCCATCAATTCGAGATCTGAATTTCTTACGCACCCCTATAAAGCTTCTCAAAGATGGCAAGCATCTCCCTCGAGTTTGAGTCGAAATTGAACCAGTTACTAACAGCTCGAGATTAGTCTCATAGCGGCGTGGATATAGGGCCTGATTGTGTCTCTGTTTTCCAGCAACTGAAACTGAAGAAGTCCTACGAGTATATCATCTACAATATAAGTGGAGACAAAAAACACATAGTGGTGGAGAAGACTTCCACGAGTGAGAAACATGATGCTTTTATCGCCGATTTACCAGAGACAGAATGCCGGTTTGCTGTCAAAGACTTCCGGTTCGAAATCGACCCCACAGAAGGTGAAAGGAACAAGATTCTTCTTATAGTCTGGTATGTTGTCTCATCATCTATCCTGCATACATGAACCTCTCAACTTCATAATAACATCGAATTAGGTCGCCAGATAATGCCCCAATAAGGAACAAGATGGTCTTTGCCGCCTCAAAGGGCAATCTCAAGCGGCGTCTCAATGGTATTGCAGCCGAGATACAAGGCACAGATTATTCTGAGATTGCCTATGAGACGAGTATGTTCTATATACTGCACTTCCATTTTTACCGTGTCCGCTGACGTTATTCTAAAGTCCTAGAGATAGTCACGGGAAAAAAGAGTACAGCCTGAGCAAATGGTCGGAAAGTCTGGGTGGAATGAGCTCGTGGAATTTTCAGTCTTCTAGACAGACACAGGTCTAAGCCAGTCGAAATAACCTACGGCTTTCCAGTATGGTGCATTTGACTTACTATATCCCGGCTTTTACCAATACAGTCCAGGTCTTCTTCTATAATATACTAGTAGGAATCCTACAATTTCAGTAACTTAGAAGGCCGGACGAAATGCCATCGATAGGTAGGCGAGCCCAGGTCGGCATCCAACTGAAGCAAGAACTCGAAGCCAAACGCTGAATGAGGACCTATCTCTGAAAACATACAGATTCTGATTGTACTATAAAGTGCGCGGAATCAGGCCGTTCCCGTAACACATTGTAATATATCGTCCCAGGTCTCCAAAGATTCACTTTGTTGAACATCATGATCATCATGGCTAATGAGAGAACTGCGCCTCATATTTCTAGGTTTACTGTAAACTGACTATGCACGTAAAGCTTCAAGTCAAAATGAGGCCCAGACGCTTGCTAAAAGAGATAATCGGACTTCCAGTTAACCATTTTGTAAACAGGTCAACAAAAGAAAGAATTTAGTTTGAATAAAGGCAGAGACCGCTAATCTTGTGGGATTAGGTTCTACTTATATCTACCTCCGAGGGTGTTACGTCATCGAATGATCCAGCACATCAGCGTTTAGGAGAGAATTGAGCTGCAAAATACGTGTATTAAAAGAAAACGCATATCTCTGCTAGTGATAGTAGAGAATAGAAGATTCTCTAAAATCGACAAAAAGTTGTGGGTCTGATTCTTCTTCATCAATCTAGTACCCTTATCGGGTTCAACCCCATTAGATTAAGCCACCAATAAAAATATGCCTAGAAGACGAATATACTATATGCAAAATCCCTTACATAGGGCGGAATTCTCTAGTCCACCTTTACTAGGCCGATCTCGGTAAGTGACGACTTCCCCTCTAAATGATCCTCGGCCGGAATTACTTCCTTAGGACTAGCCCCGCACCCATCGCTTACTTGAAAGGTAATCTGATCTGTGAATAAGCCTAGGCAATTTATACTATTCAACCGATAGGGATTGTTAAAATGATTTATATACACCCTATGCAGCATACACACTATCTAGTACTATAATATTGACGGCACCTATTGCCGTTCTTATTGTAAGGCCAACATGGCCTTTTTTTAGCACACCTACCACGAGGCTACCTTCGTTATGCCGGATGATCCTATCGAGGATTAGTAGAGCTAAATCCTGGCCGTTCACTACAAACTAGAGCTTTGTTTAACACCGAGAAAGTGAGCGACATATATACCACTATATAGCGGACACTAGAATCACCGTAAACGATAGTGGGCAAAAAAAGAATGCTGGCCTCAAAAAGTGCTGGCTTTAGAAAAGAAGGCGAGACGAGCGCCTACTATGCCACGCATCTATTGGCTGGCGTCGAAGTGGCCTCCGTGGGTCACCTTAAGAAGCTGTGGCCATAAAAGCCTCAATCCTCTTAGTAAAGGTTGGTAGAGCTGTGTGAGACCCTAGTTAGATAATGCTAGGGAGCAAGTTAACTTGCTAGCCCGCAAAATTTGATTTCCTGACATTTGGCTTATGGCACCTCAATTATAAATCTTATAAAGCCCACTATTTTCTTAGGTATCCGAAATCGACTCCACTATTAGGGGTCACGTATTCTTTAAGATACTATCGATCTCTTCCAAAGAGCCCACTATCGATTTAGCGTCTTTGGCGACATAGTCTTTATACTAAGCGAGAGTTTAGACACGGTGGGATTGTTACGCACGACTATCGGGTCGTCGCTATGTTAGAAGATTCCTAGGTTATACTTGCCTGATGCTTCTCTGTCTCCAACGTCAACGATCTGTCTCTCAACCGTACCGTTGCCTAACAGGCCTTATACGGGCTAAGTCCTTTTGAGGGTATCGAGGAGCGATGCCAGATAATGCGCCGAACTAACCAATACCGGAGCATAGGTCTATTCGTAGTGTTGTTAAGTTATAATCAAGTTGTACGAGTCACCAAAGGTTCTGAACAGTAGACATAAGTAACAATATATGATTGAACACGAAGAACTAAACTAGATACATGAATAAGTGTCCCTATATATCCTGAGTCCTTCCGTGGTAGAATGGTAGAAAGTAGAATAGTAGATTTGGCTTGGCAAGATCTACTCTTCGACCGTCGACATTTCTACTGCTTACATGATCACGTGGTTGCTGTCTCATTGGTTATTGCGGTATACAATGAGATGGTAAGCGGAAGGCCGAAAGTGGCCTTTGGCGCGCGGACCCTGTCTATTATGTATAGCTACATATGTATAGGATAAAGTCTGCCGGGTGGGTCCGCTTAGGGTAAATCATGCTTATGCTCACTGAGCATGATCACGTTTCTCTTTTCCTTGAATACCTGGGGCGTCCAGGGTATAAGGTACTGCACGTGATCTGATGACAGATAGATCGGTTGGCTCTCGGTGGCCCATCAGTAAGTTGCGGCCCCATAATCGATTGGTGCCTGGTAGGTCCGTAACAGGGATCTTTATGACCACGATCAGGAGTCAATCAATATGCATAAGAATTATGTGAAACACACTGCTAGATAGAGTATTGAGAACATAATGAAAGCTTGCGTAGTCTAAAGGGCTTACAAAATAGGCATCGCTTTCTTCACTTTCTAAACCCACTTCCCAATATATCTTCTACGAAACGTCGAGCTATACCTATTTTGATTACTCTTTAAGAATCAGAATCTTGGTCCTTGTACACTTGCTTAAAGTCAAGACCGTTCTCTAGCATCATATTTCTGTCAGGACCTCTACCTAACTGAGGCTGTTGACCCGGCCTAAGGCATTGATGGATGCCTTAGGACTCAGAATGTATTGAAAATGATGCCCTAGTCGAGGGTCTCACCGCCCTCGACTAGGCCAGTCTATATATAAGCATTTCTCGCTAGGCCGTGGAACGGGCCAGCGTTCAGTTTCTTCATACGATACACCCTATTGTACTATACACGTAACTAGGCCATCTACCTCGCTTACCCGTATAAACCCAGAGACTGCGTGGTCTCACAATTTCACACTTCTTGGAATGTAGTTTTGAGGGTATTGTTATCGATATTTGACACCTAACACTTATCGCATTCCTAGACGGATACATCCCTAAGACTAGAAATTCGCGTCGTTTAGAGCCTACAAGTTACAGAGAAGTGCAAAACCAGCTTCACCAATTGGCACTGTTTCATTCTTTCTGGGCCCCACCGCCAAGACGCTAGCTTGGTAAATAGGTACATCTAAATGGGCTTTGTGTACATTGTATATCTAGGAACTCCGAGGTAGGCCACTCAACAGGTTGGACATACCAGATTACCGTGTTTCTCGCTGCACCTGTCCCTTTTGGGTGGGATTTGTTCATAGGTGGTTTTTAGCCGATGATCTATCAACTCCTACCACTTTGGATTCTCACCTTTAAAGCTTGCTCTCATTCATGATATGATCGAGAGCAAATCTTTTCGCACATCTGAAATGGCTGAGCAGGCTGGATGTAGCAAGCAGGCCATTATCAGTATCCGCAACAACTTGCGACAATTTGGAAGCTTATACGCACTACAAACCCGGGTAGGACGAAAATGAACTGTAACGCCCCTGATGATCGAAGCCCTCTGTAATCACCTATATGAGAAACCTGGTCTCTACCTTCAGGAGATGGTTGTATTCCTATGGGACGAGTTTCAGGCCATGGTTACAACCTCCAGCACCAGAAGAGCCCTTCTGACAAAGGTTGGTCTAAAAAAAAGGCACGGAGACGTGCTAAAGAATAAAATGCCGATTTGCGGGATTATTATCTGCATTATCTAACAGGTTTTAAATCATACTACCTAGTCTACGTTGATGAATCTGGGTGTGATAAACGTGCTGGATTTAGACGGACAGGCTGGTCACCACGTGGCACGTCTCCTTTGCAAGTAACGCAATTCCATCGAGATCAGAGATACCAGATACTACCCGCCTATTCACAGGATGGGATCGTTCTGTCGCGTGTCTTTCGTGGTTCTACGGATGCCACCGTATTTGAAGGCTTTATAGCTCAGCTGCTCCAACATTGTGGACGATGGCCCGAACCTAAATCTGTTCTAGTCATGGACAACGCCTTATTTCAAGACTTCCTTGTCTATATGGTTGTTTCCGGCAAGCATTATCTCTTCAACCAATTTCCCATATGCGGGGTTTAATGGGCCGAAAACGCCAACGTCTAGTGGCTCTAGACGATGAGAGGAACTCACGTTTAATAAATATGACACCCAGACTATCCCCATCGATGTTGCGCTTCATTCATGATATGATAGAAAGCCACTCACTAACTACAACTCAAATGATGCCCCTCGGTAGGCACCATTGGCAGTCACTTATACAGGGTTCACAAAGATGTGAATCTCTGTGTGGGCTTACAGAGAAGCACATGGAGATATCTCCCCCAATACTGTCCAAAGAAGTTTTCAGGCTCTCAAATTGACGTATCGCAGCTTTGCGTTTGACATAAACTAGGCTGAAGTCACAGTTGTGGAACGTCGGTGCGAGGAAAGGCAACACCTTCTACAGCGGAGTGGTCGGTGAACTAGGTAACAATGCCAGGATAGTAAGGTCTCGCCCGAACAGCTGGCAGATCGCAGTGCGGCGAGTCGAAAATAGCCTTTATAGTATCCTTCTTCTTGGCGCTAGTTGCCATAACGACAATGTTCTGTGCATGGTTGAGCACGGGGAAAGTGAGAGTGATACACTTGTGCAGAGGTTGGGGCAAATCAGACACTAGGCTCACCTATCTATCCTCCTCGGTCAAGACTTTATGGTCGGGGAATAGGCCGTAGGTGTGGCTATCATAGCCGCAGTTAAGGAGGATTAGGTCAAAGATAGGGAACCTAGCAGAGTCTTTCTGAGTTAATCTCTCTATCACGGACTTCTCGTAGTGCTCGACTAGCTCATCTTCCTCGTTAACAAGGTCGGCATCGATAGGATAGACATTCGGAGCTCCAAGCTCTACAGGGATCTTGTCCAACAACTGGTCCTTTAGTTGCTTATAGTTGCTGTTATCATGGCCGAGCGGCACGACTCGCTCATCGGCAAAGTAGATGTGCCACTTAGCGAACTACGGAGTGTCCTCAGGGGTACCGTCGTTTCTAGGCTCGAGAAGAGCGCGAGACAGCATGCTGAGATAAGAGCCACCGGATACAGCGACTACGAAACGGCCCTGCTTATCCAAGGTTTCCTTTTGGCGCTTGAGGACGTAGCGCCTCAACTTTGGGACAAGATCATCGATGCTCGGGAAGCTCAAAAGTATGGGTTGATTTGGAGGGCGATTTATACTGTCACTGGACATAATGGGTGAGTATGATGTGAAAGGGGTAAAGTGCAGGAATTCATTTTCAGGCTGTCCGGTGGAGGGGTACGAGGTTTGGTGGGGTCACCTGAAGATGTTGTGTGCGGTGAAGACAATCTAACCATACAGTACTCCACACGCAAGTGACCACTGGTTGGTAGAATACGTTATCTCCAACTGTCCAGCAAGCTGCCCATCTGGAGATCACGACACCAAACTCAGGAAAAGGCTGCCTAGGTTCATATTCAAAACGAAACGGTTCTAAACAAGCAGTCATATCCACTCAGGGCTGAATTCACTCCACAATCTCGTAAATACTAAATAGTATATCTACCATGTCATAGGGGCTTCTTCAATAGACTACCTTGGGGCACACTGAGTGAGGGGTTGCCGATCTTGACCCATAAGTGAACCCCCATGGTATACCTATACCGAACACCTACTAGTCAAACCCCCTCTTTCTATCCAATAGATGATCCCCCAGAAGGAGTCGTTAGGGTCATGTCTGGAGAACGAAAGGCCCAATCTTTTATGCAGTTAAGAGTAAACTTTCCAAGCGCTAAGCATTATGAAGGGTTTGAGTCGATCTGTAGCGGTGTGGCATGTGTGGATTATACAGGTACTGGGGTCTTACGTATATTATTGACCCAAGCCTTGCAGTGTGGCTGGCTGAATCGGTTCAGTTACATGCAGAAACCCGAGATGAGGATGGCGTGAGTACTATACTGTAGACTAGACGGCAAATACTATGCCGCCTAGTTCGCTAGAAATTTATACAATCCACAGCTTCACACTCTAGTGATACAAACGACCATTTTGCCATCTATATTCCGTTTCCGTACCATCAATCAAGGCTGAGTATAAGTTCAACCATGGTTTCGTGTAGTATGACGGGCCGCAAGCGGGAAGATAGAGATGAACCACAGTGTTCCGAGGAAGCGATCCGACCGGACCCAGCTACTCTAGCGTGGCTGCGATTCATGGACCCACTGGTTCTTGCAAGCTGAAAGATCTGCAAGCTAAAAAATTTGCATCGATCTTTCAGCTCGCTAAATTAGCGGGAACAAGGTCGTCACTTTCTAGATATTACAGTATTCATTAGGTCTCTGCGTCCTCATAGTGGGACCCATACGACTATCACTACACGATGCTGTCATGATAGCGTGGTCGCACCGCTTATCCTTTAACTACAACATCATTATATATAGCCTCCCTATGTACCATAAGGTCACCTAAATAGGCACGTGATTTGCCGTGGTAGCAGCGGTGTTATTGAACTTACTGCATATTTGACAAATTTAAGCCTAGGCGGAGAATCATCGCGAAGAAGTGACGTATATATATTCACCAAGCCACACAGCGGGGCCGGAAACCCCACTTCTTAGATTACAACAAAATTACCGTCTCATTAACAAAGAATAGCCTCACGGGGAATCGTTAAAGGCTGACTTACAGAGCTAATCACTGCCGTAAATCTGTATTACCGCAAGGCCAGCCCCTCCTATAGGTGCTTATTATAATCCATAGAGCCATTCCCGGACGGAGGATGGAGCTAAAAGATCACTAGTGTCACAGAAGCTCGAGAGGATCGTCATTCTCGGCGTTAGTTACACGCCACTTGTACCGATGAGAATGCAGGTCCACTGTCCAATGAGATACCTTGACCTTGACCT